GCCAGGGAGCCGGGGAGGAGGGCGTGGCTTTCCTCTAGAGGGGCGGGGCTAGGAGGGTGGGCTACGGGGCCGCAAAGGCGTGGAGGGCGGTCTGAAGGGCGGCTCCTAGGCAGAAGAGGGCGCGGCCTTTAGGGAGAGAGGGGCGGAGCCCAGGGTGGGGCGCGGGGCCCCGGGAGAGGATGGTGAAAGAGCCTAGGCGGCGAGGATGGGGGCGCGGATCTCAGAGCGGGTTGGGGCGGAGCTAGGGGTGGTGTTGAGGAGAGAGTATAAAGATTCTACTGCTTGAGGGAGGGTCCCAGCCTAGATTCTCAGAGGGAGGGGGAAAGGGGGCAGGAAGAAACTACCTACTCACTAAGTTTTGAGACAACGGGAGGAGCTCAGACGTGGGTGGGGCTTCAGCCAATTTAGAATTATTCAGAGAGTTGGGCGGGGTCAGTCAGAGACTGAGCATGGAGGCGTGGCCTAGAGGGAATAGGAAAGAACTGGCAGGGGAGGGGGCACGGCCAGAAGGTGGGGGTCACCCGGAGAGAGGAGGCCGGCTTTGGCTAGCCAGCATGGGGGCTGGTCTGTAGCTAAGAGGCGGAGCTAGAGGCGGGGTCAGGACTGCGAATATGAAAAGCGTCTGAGGCTGTGGGCTTGAGTGATTGAGCGGGACCTGCAAGAGAAGCAACTGAAGCCCGAGGGTGAGACCCAGACCGGAAGGGTCGAACTAAAACAATAAAGGATTTAAAGATTTTGAAGCCGGGATCTTGGACGGAGCGGGGCTGGGGACCCGCAGTCGAGAGTGTGGTGTTGAGAACACGAATTCTAGAGTTCGTTTCCCTTCAACACTGTTTACTTCTTCTGTGACTCAGTTTCCCCTTCGGTAAATCGGAGATGATGATGTAAAGTAGTGTGTAGCACATGGTAAGGGCTAGTTTGCTACTATTACCATTTTCCCCAGACCCAGATCCCAAACCACGCTTTGAAGGGGTGGGAGAGAGGACACTCAGAAGTCCACTTCCTTCTAGTGACTCGACTTAAGTGCAGGTCAAGGGTATAGGGAGGAGATTTAGGTGGTTTAAAATCTCACAGTGGAGGAGATTAATGGAGGGGGGGGCAGCTGCAGAGGGTGGAGCCTTCCTGATCCCAGGGCCGAAGGATGGCGGCCTTCGCCCGCTTGCTGGAGCGTCTCTTCTGGCCAGCTCGCAAAGAACAGGAGGCAATGGAGGAGGAAGAGGAGGGGCGCACTCCCCAGGGGTCTCAGTTCCTCCTGGACGCGCCGCGATGCGCCCAGCGGCCGCACGGGGGTGCGGCGGCGTCCTGGGGCCTGCGCTTCGGGGCGAGCGCAGCGCAGGGGTGGCGCGCGCACATGGAGGACGCTCATTGCGCTTGGCTCGCGTTACCCGGGCTGCCCCCGGGCTGGGCTTTCTTCGCCGTCCTCGACGGCCATGGCGGGTCGCGAGCTGCCCTCTTCGGCGCGCGCCACCTGCCGGGCCACGTGCTCGAGGCGCTGGGCCCCGCGCCGGACGAGCCCGAGGGCGTGTGCGAGGCGCTGCGCCGCGCCTTCCTGAGCGCAGACGCACGCCTGCGCGCTCTCTGGCCCCGCGGCCAGCCGGGCGGCTCCACCGCCGTGGCTTTGCTCGTGTCCCCGCGCTTTCTGTACCTGGCGCACTGCGGTGACTCCCGCGCGGTGCTGAGTCGCGCTGGCGCCGTGGCCTTCAGCACGGAGGACCATAGGCCCCTCCGACCCCGGGAACGCGAGCGCATCCACGATGCGGGCGGCACCATCCGCCGCCGGCGCCTCGAGGGCTCTCTGGCAGTGTCCCGGGCACTGGGCGACTTTGCCTACAAAGAGGCTCCGGGAAGGCCCCCTGAGCTGCAGCTCGTTTCCGCGGAGCCTGAAGTGACCGCCCTGGCACGCCGGGCCGAGGATGAGTTCATGCTCCTGGCCTCTGACGGCGTGTGGGACGCGATGTCTGGCGCTGCCTTGGCGGAACTGGTGGCATCGCGCCTCTGCTTGGGCCTGGCCCCAGAGCTCCTGTGCGCACAGCTGTTGGACACGTGTCTGTGCAAGGTCCTGGGGGCGGGGCTTGGGATCTTTGAGGGGAAGAATCCAAGGGATTTAGGGAGGAGTGGCTCGATGGAGAGGCATGAATAAAGCTAGAGGAGGGGGTGGGGCTCCCCTAAAGGGCGTGGCCTGCTGGAATGGGGCAGAGCCAAAATACGGAGAGGGTGGAGCCTGAGGGATGCCTTGAGGCAAGATGGGAGAGTACTAGTGCTGGATAGTTAAGTGGGAGGGATTTAAGAGAAAGGGCGTGGTCTTTTGAAGTGGGCCGCCCTGGGAGGTAGGAATGGGTCCTGAGATCTGATTAGTGTCAGAAGAAGGAAAAGCAGCTAGACAGCAGAAGGGGAGGGGCTTTGGGGAAGGGGCGTGGTTCTCTTTAATAGGGTGGGGCTGGGACAGTGAGGGCGTGGTCTAAGGGCTTGGTCCTGGTGAGAGGGCGTGGTTTAGACTGGCAGATGGGCGGGACTTGAGAAATGGGCATAACCAGAATGAGGAGGAGGGCACTAGAACACGAGGATTGTTGGGAAGCTCTGCTTCCAAGGGCGTGGAGCCCCCTGCTGGGACATTCAACTGTACCCCACCAGGCTCTCTTTTCTCTACCTTCTCCAGGGCAGCCTGGACAACATGACCTGCATACTGGTCTGCTTCCCAGGGGCCCCCAGGCCTTGTGAGGAGGCGATCAGGAAGGAGCAAGCCCTGGACGCAGCCCTGGGCCGTAGGGTCGCTGGTGAGCAGGCGCCAGGAGGTCAGAGGCAGGGGTGATCAGGAACCAGGGGCACCCCCATAACCCTTGCCTCCTTCTCAGAGCTGTGTTCCTCTGCCCAGGAGACCCCCAGCCTGAACACGGTGTTCAGGACTCTGGCCTCACAGAACATCCCCAATTTACCTCCTGGGGGAGGGATCTATTGCAAGTGAGTCGGGGTAGGGTGGGATGGAATGGGGGAGGGGTTGGAGGAGGAGGGTCCCCTCCTCAGGGTCTCCCTCTGCTTTCCAGGGTCTCCGTCATCGCTGAAGCCTATTCTCAGCTCTGCCAGGCCTCAGGAGAGCGCTGGGAGGTGAGGACCCTGTGTTCTTGAATGTTTCTCTCAGCTGCATGTAAACCAGCCCCACACCCCCCTTTAGTGATGGGGAAATTGAGGCCAGAGGGGACAAGGGACTTGCCTGATATATAAATAAATTCTCACTCATAGCCCTGAAGCATTGTGCTAGACATGATGGAGGGGATGCAGAGCAGGGGAGAAGAGATTGTGCTTCCCTCCAAGAAATGTGCCCCCTGCTTTGCTCTGTAGAACCCCCATCATCCCCAGCACTACCCCCTCCATCCAGGAATAAGGCAGAAAAATTCAAGGAATGTTGATGACCCGATCCCAAGGCCTGGAAGTGCTGTAGGGACCACCAGGACATCTCTGAGGTGGTCCAGGTCTTGGACAAGAGAGGTTGTGAATTGGGCCCAGAGAGCCTGGGATAATTTAGAGATGTCCATTGAGGTGGTGGGTGGAGCCACATAAACTAAGGGGGTGGGGGTCAGGAGGAAATGAAAGGGAGGAAGCTGGGGCCACAACCCGAAGGCCTTGGCCTGGCAGAGAGAGTTTATTTATTACCACTTGGAGGAGGGGGAATTGTTGATAGTTTCTCAGCAGCAGAAGGAGGTTATGTGTCAGGACTGTTTGAAATGTGAGGGACAGAAACCCAATTCAACCTGGGAAAGCAGCAGGGAATTTACTGGGCCATGTAATTGAAGAGGTCAGGGACTTGAGGCATGACCTCATCCAGTTGTCAGATGATGTCATCAAGAACCATCTCTTAGTTTTATTTCCTGTGAGTTGGCTTCCTTCCCAGGCAGGGTCTCCGCATGAGCGGGCAGAGAGTTGCAGCTCCAGGCTCTGGTCCCACGAGCCTACCATCCCCAGTGGAGAGGGCGCAACAGTTTCCCAGTAGTTGCAGCTGTGGTTTCAGAGCTGGTTCTCATTGGCCACGCTGGGTCACATGGCTGACCAGTCACTGTGGCTCTGAGTGGCCAGGCTGGGGTCACAGGCCCACCCCTAGCCCTTCGGGTTGGGGTCCACTCCACCCAAACCTGATAGACTGAGAGATGGGGAACTGTGGTCCCTTAAAGGAAAATGGGAGTGGTACTTCCAGAATATAGGGGAGTAGATACTGAAAGGCAAGAAGGGGTTCCTATCTATCGTCTCCCACATTTTGTGTTACAGAAGGGGCAGAATGGGGCTGGGAAGCCCACCGGCGTCCATTCAAGCTCCGCCCTGGACTTGGAGGCCTGACAACTTTGGGGACCCTCTGCCCAGTTGGGGCCTCAATGGAACTAAGGAAGAAATCCCCCTTCCCTAGCTACGCGGACCAGTGGAAGGAAGACAAGCCGATGGAGGAACCCCAGAATGCTTATTTCCCCATCTCCTACTTCCCTCTCACAGAAAGTCTTATTGGAGGGGAAATTCCACTCACCATCTAGACTTAAGAAAAACCCCAAGCCAAAAGTTTTTGAAATATTTAGAGCTGGATGGACTCCGAGAGATCTCCTAGTTCAATAACCTTCTCTTCTCTTCCCATTTTTCATCTGTTTTTTTGGGGGGAGGTAGGAAAGAGTTTTAATTGTTAAATTTTTAATTACATAATTCAAAATATATTTTTCCTAGAGAAAAAAACCCACAAACATTATTCACCCAGTCATTTGGCAAATATGTATTGGGCGCCATCTTGCTCACAGCCACGAAGCAGGCAGACCCACTGAGATTCCTGCCCCCGGGGGGCCCACCTCTTAGTGGGGGGAGACAGCAAACAGGGGAGCTGATAAATAAGATCGTCTCAGTCACTGACAAGTGTCTCAAGCAAAATAAAACGGGGACATGATAAGGAAATGACTAGGGGAGTGACTTTGGTTTTTTATATTGTTATTCATTTATTTCTTGAATGGGGCATGAGTTCACTTGGTTGGAAGTTCAAAGGGTACAAATGGTGTACAAAGAGAAGTCTTTCTCCATTCCCCACCCCTCCGCCACTCAATTTTCCACCTGGGGATGGTTGCTTTACACGGGGGATCAGGGAAGATCTCTGTGGAGGGGACAACTGAGCAGAAACCTGACAGAGAAGGAGCAAGCCATGCAAAAACCCCAGGGAAGAGTGTTCCAAGGCAGAAAGAACAGCTAGTGCAAAAGCAGGTTCAAACTTGGCATTTTCAAGATAAGGCTTGAAATCTTTATGACCATTGAATTTCCCACAGTTCCACTTCCTATCCTATTGGTCAGCACTGCAGTGAGTTTGGAGTAGAATTTTCCAGACCTTTTACTCTGCATGTACACACATGTATATGGTACCTTAAGGTGTTTCCTTCATTTTTTTCATACCCTACGTATCATTTGGCAATTTGTTTTTTTTCACTCAATAATACATTGGAGGGCCGGCCCCGTGGCTTAGCGGTTAAGTGCTCGTGCTCCACTACTGGCGGCCCTGGTTCGGATCCCGGGCGCGCACTGACACACCACTTCTCCAGCCATGCTGAGGCCGCGTCCCACATACAGCAACTAGAAGGATGTGCAACTATGACATACAGCTATCTACTGGGGCTTTGGGGAAAAAAAAAAAAGGAGGAGGATTGGCAATAGATGTTAGCTCAGAGCCGGTCTTCCTCAGCAAAAAGAGGAGGATTAGCACGGATGTTAGCTCAGGGCTGATCTTCCTCACACACACAAAAAATAATAATAATACATTGGAGACCTCTTTCTTGCCATTTACACACCTCATTCTTTTTAGCTGCCGCCCAACGCCTCACACAGGGATGTGCAATGGTTTCACTATCCATCCTCCTCTTGATGGACATTCAGGCTATTTCCAATTTCTTGTTCTCACCTCATTGCTGCCATAAAGATCCTTCATCAGGCTCCTTGTGTACATATAAGAATGGTTTTTACATTTTTAAAGGGTTGGGGGAAAAAAGGGCAAAAGAGACCCTATGCATAACATGCCTAAAATATTTACTATTTGGACGTTTATAGAAGAAGTTGGTTGACTGCAAGGCAAGTGGCACACAGAAGCGCCACCCCTCCCATTTCACCCGTGGGAAAGCTTTGACCCAGAGAGGAGAAGGGACTTGTCCTCTCACGGCCTGAGGAGACACCCAGAAAGATAATTATAACCTAGGTGGATCAGGATTCACGATCTCTCAGTAGGATAGAAGGGGACAGGATTACTCAATTCTTCAGAGAAGAATGAACGTAAGAGCATGGTCTAGAAGGATGAGGGAAAGGTCAGAGGCATCCGGGCGGAGGACCCTGCTTGGACAAAGGCTGGGAAGGTTGATTGCCTCACTTAGTAGCTGGGCCCTGAGAATTGGTGGTTTTACACTCCCACCTTGCACTCAAGCGCTACTGGGGTTCTGGGGGCTCAGGCAAGGGGGCTATAGCCCATATTTATTCCCTCTCTCTGGCCTCAGTTTACCTATTTGTAAATGTCTAACAAGATTTCCTAAACTCCTGCCCCTGGCTAGGGCACCTTACGCGGGCCAGGTGGCGCTCTACGGGAGGGGTGTGACCACATGCGTGACGTCACGCGGGGCGTGGCCTGCGGGACCCGCTGCGGAAGCCTCGGAGGGTGTCAGGGCTCAGCGGGTAGCCGGCGCGTGGGGGAGGGGGCTCCCAGGAGCTGGCACTAGGGAGGGTCTCGTCGCCTCGGTGCGCTCCCATTGCTGGATGATCCCGCCATGCTCCGCGGGCGAAACTGAGTCACGGCGGGGCGTGCGTGGGGAGGGGGCCAGGGGCTTTATCCACACGGGGACCTGGAGTCCCACCCCCACCCAGGTCCAGCACCGCCCCCACCCCTTCCCGCCCCCACCCTGCGGCTGTGAGTCAGCGGCCGGCCGCGCCCCCTCGGCCCACTTCCTCCTCACCTTCCCGGGCCGGGCGGGGGGCAGTGAGCGGGAGGGGGCCCTCCTCGCCCATCCCCCACCTGTGCGGGGGAGGGGGCTCACCCCTGAGTAACCCCTCCTAAATTGGCGGAGAAGAGAGACCTTGGGGGCCGGGGTCCGACGGGAGGATTTAAGGGAGAAAATTGGAGAGACTATGCTACACCAGAGGGTTCTCCTTGCCCCCCTCCTAAATGAGCAGAATGTAAAGAAATGCAGAAGTCGATAGGGAGGTGGGGAGGGTGAGAACAAATTGTGACCCCATTGAGATCCTCCTAGGAATTTCCCCGGTGGGAGGGAACGAGAGATCAAGGAAGGATCCCTTCCCCTCCACCAAGCTTCCCCTCTAATTTGGGGGCGAGCCCCAGCGTGCACCCCTATGCAATAGTGTTGGGGCGGGGGCAAATAGCGGAAGGCTGGGGTTCCGCGTTGCCCTTTTAAGCGCCCTCCAGCCTCCCACCCCGCCGCCTGGAGGTGTCGACGGCCCCTTTAAGACGCAGGGCATTGTGGGTGCGGGGAGTGGAATTTTGGAACGAAATGTAGCGAAGAGAAGTACAGTAGTAAGAGTAACATTGTAGCCGCCGCCGGCCGAGGGGGCGCGCCGGGGAGGGGACGCCGCACCCCCTTTCTGCCGCAGGGACCCCCCATCACACCCCCAGAGGGAGGAGGCGCCCGAGGACCCGCCCCGGCCCACGTTCCCCCCAGGAAGCCGGACTCTATGGGGCGGGACCCTGGGGGAGACTGAGCAGAGCCTGGAGCCAGCCCCGAACCCCTGAACCTCAAGCCCGGGGCGCCCCGGGAGCAGCCAGCCCGTGGGCGCGCCGCCCGCCCGCCGAGCAGCCATGAGGTGAGCCTGGATCTGCCCCCAGCCCCTTCCCCGCCCGGCGCGGGCTCCCCGCCCCGCCTTTGTCCCCCTCCCCCCCAGCTTGCTCCGGGCTCGAATTTGGGGACAGGGCATGGGGAGCCTCGGATCTGAGGTCGAGCCCCCTGGGACGAGCTCCAAATACTGGCCACTTCCCCGTGACTCCCCAGGCTCGGGGTGGTGCCGGTGAGCTTCTCCTGGGAGCCCTCGGATTTGGGGGCGCTCCGAGGACTCTCGGATTTTTTTCAAGACTTTTTCAGAGGACCTCCAAGTTGGTAGCTACTCCCCGCTGGGAGGCCAGGGTTCAGGCAGGGCTCAGACTCGCCTCCAAATCTCAACTCGGGCTCCGGGAGGGATTGTAGGGGGCCGGTTTGGGGGTCCTGGAAGAGAGATTGAGACGTAGAGCTTGGTTTGCGGGGTCCCCCTTTACGTGGCGCTGGGAAAAGTCTTCCCAAGTGGGACCTCGCTCCTGAACTTCGGGGGTACTTAACCCTCTCAATTTGGGGGTGCTCTCGTCCTCCTGGAGGAGGTTGGTGCCGACGGATCCAGGGACTCAGACGCAGCCTGGAGAGTCTGGTGGGACCCCCCTCCCCCACTGCTCCCCACCCACGATCTGCTGAGACGGGCTGTGCCTAGGACTGAGCGAGCGCTCCGTGCGGAGGGCGGCGCCCCGGCCACGGGCCAGCAGGGCGGCCCTCTCCCCCACCTGCCCGGCCCTGGGGAGGGAAGGGGCGCGGCAGCTGGGGGAATGGGGGCCTTTGTCTTCCTGACTCACCTGTCGAGACAGCTGGTGTTCGGGGGGCGGGCAAGGAGCGCTGTGGGCCGGCTGCTCTCCCCACCACGGCGCCTCCCCCTTCTCTCACCACCGCCCCCCCACCCTAGCCATCCGGAGCTGTGGGGTTGGAGGAGGGGCGCTGGAAGGCTTCAAGGTCATAGCCCTCTCCCCCTGGGACCCAGGCTTCCCAGATAGTTCCAGCTCTCTTCCCAGGAATTGAACACTGGGGGTGGGGGACCCAAGGATTTTGTCTTGGGTCCCTCAAAAGTCCTGGGCTCACCGGAGGGCGGGGCCAGTGCGGACTGGGGGACCGGACTAGGCCCCCCCATTCTCCCCTCTCCCTGACCCCCCATAATCTCTCCCTTGAGGCCTGAGCCTGACAATACTATCTCCCTTCCTCCACTCTCTCAGGGACTTCCTGCCCCAAAGCCCCCAGCTTGAGGGGGGAGGCCCCTGGAGACCGATAGGGATTAACCCCGTGGTGCCCACATCCTCCCACTTCCCCATTCCCCCTACCCCTGCCATCTGACATCAAGGTGGCCTGCCTTTTTATGACTGTCAGAGAATCCCCCTCCCCCATTTGTTCCTTCTGATGTGAAAGGAAGTGTTGGAAAATTGGGAGCAAGGGGCACCCACAGACACCCTCAAGACTTCCTGCCTACCCTTTTCTCATACAGCAACATGCCTTCAAGGTCTGCCCTGGAGAGGGGGCCGTGGTCAGGAGCCTCTTCCTTCACCCTCTTCCCCGGGGACTCTCCTCTCCCACTGCCCCCCAGCCCTGCCCCTCGCCCCCCTCTCCCCGCGTTTCCGGTCCCAGGCACCGCGGTGGAAGGCGGATGGCGGATGTCCGAGCGAGGGCTGCCTCACTCGGAGACCGTAAAAGGGCAGGAGCAATGTCTGGGCCGGCCTCCCACCCCCCTCCAGCCTCGAGGCCCTGGCCCTCCCACAGGGCCCCCCTACTGCTGGCCGGGCGGGACCTCCCACCTCCTGGGGGGTGGCAGAAGTTGCTGATGCCTGTCCCATCAGAGGGTTACTCCTACCTCCTGTGGGGTCTTCCCTGCCGATGGCCACACCCGCCTTCCTGGGCTGGCCCCTTTTCCTGAGACAGCTAGGATTCAGAACGCCCCATGCCGCTGTACGGGGGCAGCTGGGGAAACTGAGGCTCAGAGAGAGAAAAGCCTGGCCCAAGATCACTCAGAAATTCCTAGGCTGTGTTGCGGGAGGGGAGGGGACCAGGATGCTCTGATTTCTGGCTGGTTTGACTGGAGATGGTCTTGGGGGCAGTTGAAAGAGAGGATGCTAAGATGGAAAATGACAAGATATAGTTCTTTTTCTCCTAGTTTGACAAATATTTGTTGAGTGTCTGCTGTGTCCAGGAATCTGAGCTGGGATTCTGGGAAGGCCGGGAAGGGGGGCAGAGGTCTGAGAATCCCGGGGCAGAGGGGACTCAAGAAGAATTTGGGTCCGTTTCTTTCCTCTTCCAATAATAGTAATTATTATTGCTGTTTTAATTTTTTTTTAAATAATGAGACCATTTGAGCAAGCATCCACTTTGTGCCAGGCTCTGTACTAGGTGCCTGATTAAGTTTAATCCTCACAGCAATTCTAAGAGATTGATGCTATTATGACTGCCCCTCCCCCAGATGGGAAAACTGAGGCAAAGAGAAATTAAGCAAATTGCCTATTAAAGTCAGTTTGGAAATGGGCAAACCTAAATTTGAACCCAGGGCTGTCTCCGGACTATTATGCTATTAGAGAAAAAGGAAGCTAAAACCTTTAATGGTCTTTTAAAAAGAATACAAATAATATGCTTTCACTGTATGAACACTTAAGATAATGAAGATAAGCAAAAAATGCCCAGATGGGAACTTTTACCTTCCTGTTCCTTTATGGGAAACTAAGGCCTGTCTGGGAGGAGGGACTAGAGTGACACAAGCCCCACAGACCCTAGATGTGGTTCCCAACCAGGGTTCTTTAAAGAAGATTTGTAGTGTGGAAAAGTTGTGTGCGTGGGGGTTTGGGGAGTGGATCACAAGTTTTATGGTTTAAGGGGGCTATGGGGTAAATCTTGGAGATGGGATAAAGGGGCTAAGGGAAGGGCAAGCCTCTAATCTGGAAGGTTCGAGTAAACCAGAGTGACTGTGCTTGATTGCCTCCAGTCATGGGAAGCTCTCTCCCTCCTGTTTTGACTCTCAGCTTCCCTGTATGGAGCCTATGCCAAGTTCTGGTCCTCAGCTTAGGGCTTTTCTTATCTCTTTGAATCCTTACAAGAAACCCAGTGAGTTACAGTTTCCAGGGCTGGAAACTGAGGCTCAGAGAAGTAAAGCCACACGACAAGGAGGTGACTTGAACTCTCTTTCATCCACCATTTGCTAGAATTTTCCAGAATGTGAGGACTTTAGGGGAGGGTTAGGTCCTGGGCTGGCTGAGGATTAAGGCTCTTTCATGTCAAATTGGTGGTTCAAGACCCCGGGAGACCACTGGAATTAGGCAGACCCCATTTCAATCTCTATAACAAATTGTCTGTGAAAGTCCAGCTTTTGCCTGGTTTATAGTTTTCTTTTTTGAACTTAAGTAATGAAATAGTTTTTTATAGGTAAAACTAGTACATGATAAAAAAGAAAGAAAGAAAAGAAATAAGCGATTCAAAAGGGTAAACACTAAGAAAGAAAAGTCCGCTCCACACCCCCCCCAGCACCCTCCCCAGGGCCCCTCCTCAGAGCAGCCTCTGCATATATCACCACTCTGTGTGCAGATGTATTTATATCCTCCCCACATTTTTTTTTAACCTCTGATACACACCACTTTATACCTTACCTTTAAAAAAAATTCAGCTGCACTGTTTCCTCATCTTTAAATGAGGCTGAGAACTTGGGTTCAAATAGGAGCCCCTCTGCTTACTTGCTGGGTGACCTGGGACAGGCGTCTCCATCTCTCTGTGCCCGCAGTTTCTCATCTGTCACGCAGAGAAGCACCAGAGTCCATCTCCTGGGGTCATTGCAAGGTTCACCGTGGAAACTGGAGCTGAGTACCCAGAACAGTGTCTGGGACACAGGCTTGCAGATAAATGTCAGCTGTGGTTGGGTTTTCCTTTTTTACAGATGACTAACAACTGTTGAGTACCTGCTATGTGCTGGGCGCCATTCTAGGTTTTGGGGACATAGCTGTGAACAAAAAGGACAAAAATCCCATCCCTACATGGTCCTGATGTTTTGGTTGGGGAGACAGACAGGGATCGCGGCTAGGAAATGTGGGACATGGGATGAGAGAAGAGGGTAGTCAGGGAGGGCTTCTTGGAAGAGGTGACGTCTAAGCAGAGACCTGAAGGAGGTGAGTCTAGGCTGAGGAGAAACACATGCACAGGCCTGAGGCAGGAATGCATCTGGCATGTTGAAAGAGCAGCATGCGGGCTGGTGGGGCTGGAATAGGGCAGTGGGGCTGGAACAGCGAGCTGGGGGGAGGGAAGGGATGAGATCAGAGATCACGCAGCTCACGCAAGCCATGGAAAGAACTTGGCTTTTATTCTGCGGGAGCCAGGGGAGATTCCGAGAAGAGGAGGGACATGATCCGACTTGTGTTTTAACAGGATCCTTCTGCTGTAATGGGGACATTGCGACCTGGAGAGGGGCAGGCCCAGCCTGGGGTCACTCAGCAGGCGCCCAGCTCTCCGGCCAGGCCAGAACCTCAGCAGGGCAGGGCCGCCTAGGAGAGCAAAGTGCAGCCAGGGCGGAGTAGCAACAACAGCCCTGGGCACCTGGCCAGAGTCTGCCCTGGGTGTGGGTGGCAGGTGTGGGTGAGGCTTAACCTGGTCCTGCTAGGGGCAATGGGAGCCAGAAACAGCCCCTGAGGCTGCACTTCTCTGGAAATAGCACCTGCTTTTTGGGTAGGGCCCACAGAGTCCCCAGTGGTTAAGACTGTGGCTCTAGAGCCAGGTGGCCTGGGTTCAAATCCTAGTTCTGCTACTCACTAGCTGTGTGACCGCAGGCAAGTCACTCAACCTCTCTGGGCCTCTGTTTGCAGTCCTCACTTGAAAATGTGGATAAAATTGTGCCCAGAGGAAAGGGCTTAGGGCGCCTGACCAGCTGAAGGGCCTCATGAGAGGGAGGTGCCACAATTATGTAAACTTGGGGGGGCCTGGAGGCTCAGCCTCCTGGCCTGGGAACTGGGAGCTGGGTCTGCAGAGGGGCTTTCCCTGGCCTGTCTTGCTCGGCTCAGCGTCACACCCCAGCCCCCAGCCCTGGTACAGATGGAACTATTGCGGGGTGTAATTTCTCTCCCCGGAAACCTCTGACCACCAACTTCCTCTTTTCAGGAAAAAGGGCAGTGGGGGTGGGGTGGGGGTGGGGTGGGGGCAGGGACACGCGCTTCTCCCTGGTCTCCGTGTGACCTTGGGCAAGTCACTTCCCATCTGGGAGCCTGAGTTTCCTCACTGTCGGGGGGAGCATTGACCCTCCCCAGGAGGACTGGTGGGGGGTTGGGAGGGCTACAGTTGTCCAGGGCCCCAGGGGTGCCTGTTCTGGGTGCTCGAGAAAGGGATCCTGATAGTTACTAAGGGCCCAGACTCGCTACTCCTCCCACTGCCCTGGGAGGTGGTGTCTGTCATTTCCCCAGTTTGCAGACGAGGAAGATGAGTCCTGAGTGGGCAGGTCGCCAGCCCGAGTCACATGGAGTAGGTGTCTCGGCTGGGATTTGAACCCAGGGCTGGCAGTGGGTCTCAGATCCTCACCTCTGAGCCGGTTTCCTGACCGTCCCCCCCCCCCCAGGCTGAGTCAGATGTGCATTCCTCTGGGAAATCCTCCCCGACCCCCAGGCCCGGGCAGGTGCTCCTTCTGGGCACCCCGAGCCTGGCCTTGGGTTGTGGCTGTCTGGGGACGCGACTGTCACCTGCTCGGGAGGGTGGGGCCGGGCCTTCTGGGTCACAGCAGAGACATGGGCCTGACAGAGCAGGGAGTGTCTGCTGATGGCGGTTGGTGCCCGGGGCTGCGTGAATGGGGTGGTAGCAGGAAGTGCACGAGCCCAGGATCCAGCATGGGTCCCCACCACCCTTCCCCCCTGAACCTCACAGCTTCCTTCTCCGACTGGAGCCCGGAGTGGGGGAGGGGAGTCCGAGTACCCTGGCAGAGATGGGGACACCGAGGCTCTAAGAGCGCCGGGAGGGGCTGGTTCCCAGTGCTGCCCATAGCTCCTGCCGCGTCCCCCGTCCCCCCTCTCCCGGGTCCCCTCCTCTGCTCTCACTCTGTACTTACCTGCATCTCTGTTGCTGCCTCCCTGCCTTTCCATCTGTTTCCCCCCACTCCATTCCCGTCTGTCTGTCTTTCAGTCTGTCTCCCCTTTGTCTATCTGACTCCCTTTCTCACCTCTCTCCCCACATCAGTCTGTCTCTTCCAGTCCGTCTGTCTGACTCTCCCTGTCTGTTTCTCCCCATCTGACTGTCTCTCTCTTTCCTCGTCTGTCTCACATCCCTGTTTGTCTGTTTGTCTGTCTGTCTTTCTCTGTCCCATCTGCCTGTTTTTCTCTCCCAATCTGTCTGTCCGGGTCTCCCCGTCCGCCTGTCTCCCTCTTCTCTGTGTGTGTCTCTCTTCCTTTCACACTCTGTCTCCCAGATCTCCCCGGGGACCCAGATGGCGAGGGCGATGGGCCCCTGGAGGGAGGGCGCCGTGCTCCCCTGGCTAACCAGCCGCTCTCCCGTCCCCCGCTCCTGGCAGCGAGACCGTCATCTGCTCCAGCCGGGCCACCGTGATGCTTTATGATGACAGCAACAAGCGATGGCTGCCTGCCGGCACGGGCCCCCAGGCCTTCAGCCGCGTCCAGATCTACCACAACCCCACGGCCAATTCCTTCCGGGTGGTCGGCCGCAAGATGCAGCCGGACCAGCAGGTGAAGCCCCCCTCCCCCTCTCCCTGTGCCAGCTGCGCCCCACCCCTGTGCCCACCACCCCTCCCCCTCCTCTCCCCTCCTGCCAGGTGGTCATCAACTGTGCCATCATCCGGGGTGTCAAGTACAACCAGGCCACCCCCAACTTCCATCAGTGGCGCGACGCCCGCCAGGTCTGGGGCCTCAACTTCGGCAGCAAGGAGGATGCAGCGCAGTTTGCCGCGGGCATGGCCAGCGCCCTAGAGGCATTGGAAGGTTAGAAACAGTGGGCCGGGGGACCCCTGAGCTCTGCCGTGGGGCCTGCGGCTGCCGCTCTGGGCCTCCGTTTCCTCAGCTGAAAATGGGGCTAATTCACTGCCGCTGTGGAGAATTAGTATAAGGATTTTGTGTGGGCTCCTGTGTGCACCCACATATAAAACGCACGATTCCTCAGGGTACGGTTTGCTCCGTGAATTTGTACGCAGGCACACTCCCGTGTGACTGCCTCCCAGATCAAGAGATAGATGTTTCCAGCCCCCAGAAGTCTCCCTGTGCCCTTTCGCGAGGTAACAATTGTACTGACTTATATCGTCATCGTCAATTACTTTTCAGGCATTGATATTAAGGAAAAAATCTCCAGTTGGCATTTCTTAAACTTGAACATGCCCACGAATCATCAGGGCATCTGGGTAAAGTGCAGATTCCCGTTCAGTTGGGCTGGCTGGGGCCCGAGCCTCTGCATTTTTAGCAAGCTCCCCGGTGATACTGAGGCTGCCGGTCCAAGGATAGTACTTTGAGGAGCGAGGCGTTAGGTGGTCGACTGCCGTGCATGCAACTTCAGTGTCCGTGGGGAAGGGCTTGCTTGACTGGGGGTGCACAGAAAAACACGGTGGGTGCCTCAAGTACTCGGGAGCCGGTGGCCTGGGGATGGGTGAGGAAGAGACTCTCGGCCTTTCCAGGGGTCTCAGGCTGGGGGTCTGAGCCACTGTTGTCAGCGGTTGACTCCTGGATGCTGGAGTCAGTCTTGTTCCTGCAAATTCCAGTCTGCAGGACTTGGGACGAGTGACTGGCCCCTCTGGGCCTTCGCTGTCCCCCCTGTCACTTGGGCATCATCCCAGCCTCCACCTCACACAGCTCAGTCAAGGCAGGCTGGTGCTGGCCCTCATCCCAGAAGTCTGCCCAGGTGCCCACACTCCAGCCCCAAGCGCAGGGTCCCGGGGGAAGAAGGAAGTGAGCGCCTCTGGGCAGGATTCCTGGGAGGCCTGGGAGAGCCGAGGGAAAGTGCCAACGGGTGGGGCAGAGTTCCGGCCTTGACTCATCACCCTTTTTCCTCTCACCTTCCAGGAGGTGGGCCTCCGCCCCCGCCGCCACCGGCAGCAGCTCCTGCCTGGTCTGTCCAGAACGGTCCCTCCCCTGAGGAGGTGGAGCAGCAGAAAAGGTGGGGCCAGCCCCTGGGTGGGGAACCTTACCACTGCCGAGTTCTAGGATATTCCAGAACCCCTGACTCCTGGAGTTCAGAATGCTCCAACTGTCAGTTTCCAGAATGTTCCATCTCCCCGGGGGACTAGAAATTGACCGCTTTCAGAAACCCCCACCTCCTGGAGTTGGAGAAAGTCCTGACACTCAGAGTGGCAGAACCTCCTGGGTCCCCAAATCCTGGGCCCAGGATCCTGGGCATTTTGTAATTCAGGTGTTCTTGATAGTTTGATGACCGGAATGCTGGCATCTTGGTCCCTGCCTGTCCCTGCCCTCCCCCACACCCCTTTCCTGGGCCCCCAGGGAAGGAAGGCACGGGTGGGGATTGGGAGCCAGCCTCCCCGGAGACCTCTGAGCGAGAAGGGGAGGTTACTGGCTGTCCTCGGGCCCTGCGTGATGGCAGCTCCATACCCTCCTCAGGCAGCAGCCTGGCCAGCCGGAGTACGCCGACCGTGAGCGCCGAGTCTCCAATTCAGGTGATTGCTCCAGTGACCTCGGGAGGACCTCCCTGGAGGAGGCGGTGGGCCGCTGGACAGCAAAGAATGAGGCTTCTCTCTCAAAACCCCTCCTTTTTGTGTGTTGTTTCAGGCCCACCTGCTCCCTCAGCTGGGGGACCGCCTCCACCTCCAGGACCTCCCCCTCCTCCGGGTCCTCCCCCACCCCCTGGGCTGCCCTCCTCGGGGGTCTCGGCTGCTGGGCATGGAGCAGGGGGAGGCCCGCCCCCTGCCCCACCTCTGCCCACAGCACAAGGCCCCAGTGGTGGAGGGGCCGGGGCGCCCGGCCTGGCCGCAGCCATTGCCGGAGCCAAACTCAGGAAAGTCAGCAAGGTGAGGAAGCCAGGCGTGGAGGGTGTGGGGTGACTGGGTCCTGATGGGGTGATGCGATGAGGCCAAGGTCGCCTGGGGGCGTCATAGGAGAGCTGGGAGGCCAGGAGGCCCGCCCATAAAGCCCCATCCTCTTTGTAATTTCTCCAGCAGGAGGAGGCCTCAGGGGGACCCCCGGCCCCCAAAGCTGAGAGCAGTCGAGGCACAGGCGGGGGGCTCATGGAAGAGATGAACGCCATGCTGGCCCGGAGGTGAGCCTGAGCCTGGAGCCCTCAATGCCGGTGGACAAACCCCTCAGCCCAGCAGTTACCACCTGAGATTCCGGTTCAGTAGGGCCAGGTCGGGGGAGGGCTCAGATTCCCCTTTTGTTGTTTGTCTGGGTGACAGTTCCCCCTTTGACAGCCAGGTGTGGGATATAATGCTGGGGATTGCAGTCCCCTGAGATGGCTGAGGTTTGCAACCACCTAGGCAGCCTCTAGAATGTTCTAAGACCCAGAATTCTAGGACCGTAGGAGATCTTGCCTCAGAATCTGGAAACGCAGATTTCTGGAGTCCCAGCAGTCTCAGCTAGGGCCCTCTGCCCTTAGAATTTTGTGATTCCCAGATGTGAGAGTCGTAAAAACCCCCACCCCAATCTAAAAACAGCACTCTTTAACTTCTGAAGCTAAGGTTGTCTTAGCCTTCATGAATTCCCAGACTCTGCACTGTAGAATCCACCTTTCTAGAACTCTGGGAAGGGGAGTTGTCGAGTGGCTGAGGGAGGAACGAAGCCATCTGTTTTTGCCTTGCCCTCCTGCAGAAGGAAAGCCACACAAGTTGGGGAGAAAGCCCCCAAGGATGAATCTGCCAATGTGAGTTAGGGGCTCTTCCTGCCGTATACACCTTACGCTGTACCACTAGGGTAGGGATACTGGGGAGGCGGGAGTGTTAGGGCTGGGCTGGGTTTGAAGCTGATGGAGGAAGAGCAGAGGTGTGGCAGGGGCTGGCTCATGACAGTTCTATTTCCCACCAGCAGGAGGAGCCAGAGGCCAGACTCCCAGCCCATAGTGGTGAGTGAGAGCCCAGTCTAGCCACAGGAACTACAAGTCCCAGGATGCCCTGTTCTCACATATAAAGCACTCTCAAGGGAGAGTCTGTGCAAATAATGCTGGGGATTGTAGTCTCCTGAGATGGTTCTTTGAACACGGGCTGATGAGGCTGTGGGAGAAAGATTGAGTCCAGACATTTCTTGTCGCTGATCTTTCTGATTTGTTGTCTGTCCCCCAGAATCTGTGCGGAGACCCTGGGAGAAGAACAGCACAACCTTGCCAAGGTGGGCCATCAATACTGGGGCCCCACCCTCCACCCCAAAATAGTTGGATTCACCAAATTTGCAGGGAGGAACCCAGTGTGACCCCTGGAATGGGAGGGAGGGGAGGCAGGCCCTCTTTCTAACCTCGTTTCTGTCCCAAACCACACCAACTCTCCCAGGATGAAGTCGTCGTCTTCCGTGACCACTTCCGAGGCCCACCCCTCTACACCCAGCTCCAGTGATGAATCAGACCTGGAGAGGGTGAAACAGGTACCTTTGGGCAGGGGACAGGGTCTAGAAAGGGGTCACAGGAAGAAAGGAGATCTGGGTCTAGATTCTGCCACTGACACACCATGTGATTCTAGAAAAGACCTTGGGAAGCTCAGTTTTCCAGTCTAAGAAATGGAGAGATTGGATCAGTTCAGAGATGACACAGACACCACAACCCTCTTTGCCAGTGCCTGTGACAGACCTTACAAATCTATCACTGCACTCATTCCTGATAAATACCCAGAATCCTTTTCAGCGCACCGTCCCCAGACATCCATCACCAATTGGAGTTGGCAGGGGACTAGAATGTATTTGCCAACCCTGGTACTGGATGTTCTCCAGTGCCTTTCTTCTGTCTCCAAGGGTCCAGAATTCTCCCTTAGAATTCTCCGGTCACTTTGTGACCTCGTCAATGATGTCAAGTTTGTGTATGTGTGTGTAGGGGGGGTCTTGAATCTCCTTCCTCTGGCCCATCAGTCATTAAGAAAGGGGGGATTCGTTTCTGCCAGTCCGGACACCCTTCCTGATTGGTTACATCCCATTATTTCCAGGAGCTTCTGGAAGAGGTGAGGAAGGAATTGCAGAAAGTAAAAGAGGAAATAATTGAAGGTGAGGTTGGTTTTTTTTTTTAAACCCTTATTTATTTTGGAGGCATCGTGTCCTTTGGGAAAAGCCCTGTTTTGGAAGGGAAGGGGAGGAGGCTCTGCCCCTGATCTCTGCCCCTTGTTTCCTTCCAGCCTTTGTCCAGGAGCTGAGGAAGCGGGGTTCCCCCTGACCACAGGGCCCAGAGATCCCGTTTCTCCTTTCCGCACATCCCGCCTGTCACCCTGCTTTCCCTGGCTCAACTTGACTTGGAATTGGCTGAAGACTACACAGGAATGCATCTTCCCCACTCCCCATCCACTTGGAAAATTCCGAGGGGGTGTGGCTTCCCGGGCACCACGCCCACACCCATACTGGCTGCTGATTAGCTGGGGAGGCCCCCACCCTTTGCTCCCTTTGGTCCTTCCTCTCTGCCATCCCCTTGGGGGGGGCTGGTTCCTCTGCTGGGGATGTACCAATTAACCCCACAGTAAGGGGGAAGGAAGGAGGGAATTTCACATTCCCTTATTCTAGGTTCACTTTAACGCTTAATGCCTTCAAATTTTTGTTTTTTTAAGAAAAAAAATATATATATATTTAGGTTTTGGGAGGTAAAGGGAAATTTTTTTTCTCTTTGGTTTTGATAAAATGGGGTGTGGGGAGTTTTTAAATGCTATCGCCCCAGGCTTGTCCCACGTGGGGCAGCTATTTAAGGGGGGGGATGTCCCACCAGGCTGGGGGCACCTCCCCACACCCCAGGGACCTCCCTTCCCTCTGGCTCTTTCCCCTTTTCTATAAGGAATTAAGATGCTGTAACTTTTTGGAACCTCAGTTTTTTGGTTTTTTATTTGGGTAGGTTTTGGGGTCCAGGCCATTTTTACCCCCGGCGGAAAATAAGATGAGGGAGAGAGGGAAAGGGGGGGAAACACCCCCTCTCCCACCTTCACCTTGAGCTTCTTGAAAATGGGCCCCTGCAGAATAAATGTGCCGGTTTTTATAAATGCTAAGATTTCTGGAGTGATGTGAAGGGCTACTCTGACGCGGATGGGGGCCTGCCCCTCCATCCCCCAGTAATCCGCCAGCCCCTCATCTTCCTCCTTCCCACCCTGCACCTGGTCACTTCGCTCAGCCTCCTGCAGCCCAGAAGGGGGCCGTGTCTCTGCCCTCTCTCAGCCTCCCTCCCTCCCTTCCTGTGTCCCTCACCGGGCAGCTTCCTCACACTTTCCCACCCTGCCCCACCAAGTCCCCACCCTAGAGAAAGCCAGGGACAGTTGCTCATGGACTGTGGGCTTGAGCAAGTCCTTGCACTTCCTGTGGGCCTCAGTTGCCTCATCTGGGAAAGGGCTCACAGGATGACTACCCCCTTCCCACCAGAATCCTCCCAGCTTCTCTCCCGATTTGAATGAGCCTTGTACCCATTTTGCAGGTGTACCTCATGGTTCTCAGACACATTCTTAAGACTACCCCAGAGGTCCTTTAATTATAAAACATTTACCGTCCAAAAAGATAGAATTCAGAAGTCACAGAGCTCATAGACACCCTCGTGAGCCGTTCAGTGGGTTGGCAGGGTGTATGTGGGGGAGGTAACACTGCCTGGTGGAATATTCCGTTTTGGATGGGGGTGGGGACTTTCAGGGCTGAGGGGCAGGTGGGCCCACTGGAAGAAGCCTTTGCATAAGGAGGGTGAGGGGGAACTGGGCCATCAGTCCAAAAGCGAGAGGGAAGGCAGAATCCCTGAGTGCTCTGAAGAGCAGGTTTGGATGGAAGATGGGGGATGAGACAGTGACCCTGTAGTAGGGGAACAAGTGGTCCCTATGAGAGGCCAGCAGGAGAGGACGGCGGGTAAGGACACAGTAGGTCCAGAACTTCTGGACAGGTAAACAGGGCAGAGAGCAAAGCACAGAATGGTTCAGCCCTAGGCAAGACCAATTTTTCTACCTGAAAGGGCCAAGTCCTGCTGGAACAGACTCCAGAAGGGGGGGGGGGTGGGGGGAGATCTGGTGGAACTACACGGTGTGGGAAGACCCTGCACAGCCTCTCCAGTGGGTTATGCCACAGACTAAAGGTGGTGGTGGTGGTAGGGTTCTGTTGGAAAGATCTACTTGAGGGGAAGACCCTAGTCAAAGCACCCGCGGCAGACTAAATGCTGGAGCCACAGGGGGACACTGAAGCTAAGGCACTCCAAGATCCGTCCTTCCCCGCCCCCCAGAACAGCGAGGTAAATGGAAGATGATGGGGCAGGGACGTCCACTGGAAGTTTCTGCATGTTCATGACAATGGTCTGTACCGATGAAGAAGGGGGAAGGGGTGTCTGGTGTAATGGATGAGGGTCCTGGGGAAAGGACCACTCTTGAGGTAAGCGGAGGTTATGAGTGACAGAATGCGAGTTGGCTAGGTCCGTGTGTCCTGCTGGCCCCCTAAAGGTGGTTGTGGGGGGGTGGGATCCATGGAAGACACTGCCTTTCCATTCCCAAGTGCTGAACGAGTGGACTGGACCGGAGGGGTTGCCTATTGGAACGTTCCACTAATGGGAGGGAGAGTCCCAGCTGAAGGTACCGCTGGGCAGGTTAGTGGGGAGGTAACCAAAAGCCGGGTTGGATCAGCCCCAGTCCAGGATCCCTTCCGCCCCTAAAGGGCCCAGGTGGTGTTAGCGGGGCCAGTTCAGGAAGGGGCAGCGCGGACAGAAGGCCACGTCGGAGACCTCGCAGTCCAGACAACGGTCACGTCCAAGACCAGGGCCCCGCGGCCTCCTACTCCTCGGGCGTGGGCGCTGCCTGGGGCGCGGACGGCGGCTCCCGGGGGCAGAGCTGGGCGCGCACCTCTTGCACCTGAGCCCGCAGCTCCTCCAGGGCGCCCAGGGGCGGCGCCGCCTGCACCTGCGCCTGCAGGGCCTCGAGCGCCTGCGCCAGGTGGCCCACCTCGTCCCGCATCGCGTCCCAGGCGGCGCGCTGCTGCTCCTCCTTGTGGCGCTGCTGCGTCTGGTGGCGCCAGTACTCCAGCACCAGGCAGCCGCAGCCCACCACGAAGATGCTGGCCTCACCCAGCAGCTCGGCGCCCAGCTCGGCGGCCGCCTCCTCGTTCAGCGGCTTGACGGCTTCGGCGTTGAAGCCCAGGATGCGCATCTTGGCCCGCATCTCCGCCCAGTGGTACACTGCGGGGGAAGAGAGGGGTCAGGGGGCTTGTGCGCGGGAGCCCCCTGCAAGCCCCGCCCCTCGACGCCTCGGTGCCAGGTCTGAGCAAAGGGGACAGGCAGCCAGAATAGCCGGGCCTCACCGACGCAATGCCAAGTTGATCTGGCCTGGGGTGGCCCAGAGGGCATCTTTTGAAAGCGTCCAGAAGAGTCTGGCCAGAAGCCCGGGATGAGAAATGCTGCCCTGGAGGGGAGGTTCTGAGTGGGGGCCGCACCTCTGGGGGGTCACAAGTCCAGGGCAGAGGGGCTTGCTCCCTCTGCTCCTCCCACCACCCACCCGAGGGCCGGCCAGGCTCCTGCCCTCCTCCCCTGCCGGTGGAGTGACAGCTCTGAGCTCCTTCTGTTCACAGTGGCATCTGGGGCTTTGGAAGGAGCTCAGGGCTCTTCCCTAATCACTTATTCATGTGAATAGGATTATCAGCATTGTCATCGTTTATAAGCACAACCTAAGCATGGAGCTGATGCTGACACCTGATTCACTCCAGTAATAATTAATATTCATCCATAGATACACGAACTGATTGGAAAAATAAGCCTCCTCGGGCTCATTAAGAGGTGAATTTCTTGGGGCTGGCCAGGTTGCCCAGTGGTTAAGTTCACACACTCTGCTTCAGTGGCCCAGGGTTTTCAGGTTCACATCCTGGGCTTAGACCTATACCACTCATCAGCCATGCTGTGGCAGCGACCCACATACAAAATAGAGGGAGATTGGCAAGGATGTTGGCTCAGGGAGAATCTTCCTCAGCAAAAAAAAAAAAAAAGAAAAGAGAGAGAGAGAGATGAATTTCTGAAAACATTTTATACTTAACCCCTTCCAGCCATCCTCCACAGCAGCCAGACTGACCTAATTACCTTTTCTTCCTTTTAGTGCATAACATATGCACATGGGCGGAATTATCTAGATGACAGAGAAGGAGGTGTATTGGAAAACAGAAGTCCATCCTCCCACCTCTAGCTTTAGTCCTGCTCCTCAAAGGTTAACCACTTTTGAGCTTTTCTGCATTTATTTCTTCCACTTTAACCCTATGAAACCAAATAACAAGCTTATACCTCTATTTCTTGATTTACTAAATTGAGTTTTTAAAAATATTGTGACTTGATTTTCCATTGCCACCCCCCGTTATGTGAATTTATCACATATTCTATACGCTTTCCTTCTCCCTCCGTATTTTTACAAGTGATTTTTATTTTATTTGTTACTGTTTATTGGTAACCTTTGTAATTCTAAATAATATGCCCGTTGCCTCAAACTTCCTGACACGTACACCTGTAAGTATATTAACTGCCCTACCCTGCCTCTCCTCTCCCCTCCTCCACCTCCTACGGTCTGTCTGCTGTACTATTATTTTTATATTATCAAGGCATCTTTCTGAGGTTCTAATAAGTCTTAAGTGCTCTGTCCATAGGCTGAGTCTGAAAATGAAAATATAGAGCATGTACCCTCTTAAGGTTATGTAAATACTAATCACTGTGAATCCATAATGAAGATGTAATTTTTCTGCATTCAACCAGTGCTGTCTGAAGCATTCACATTAAATGGCAACTCTAACATTGTTTCACATAATGCTACGTTTTAGTCTTCTCATATTTAGACCTTGATTTTACTGTATGAAGCTTTTTAGTTTCCCTAGGTGCTTCTCACCACAAATGCCACATGTGACCCACAAATGCCTAACTCAGCATGTGACCAAGATCATCCAGCCCTTTGCTCCTTTTCTTTATTAAATAGTCAGCTGTGGGCTCACTGGCTATTTCTGGGCTGCTGCAGGGCTGTCCTCCCAGGATGTCTTCACATTGCTCTCCTTCACACTCTTCCTCCTCTTGAGGAACCTGTGTCCTCCTCTTTGTTGAATTCCATTCTAGTTTTGCTGAAGTATATCCCTAAGTACCTTTTTCAGAAAGGGTGCTTGGTAGGTAGGTATTTTGAATCTTTGCATATTTGAAATATCTTTTCCCACTTTCACACTAGACTAGATGATAGTTTCTAGGCCCAGAATTACTGGTTCAAAATCATACTCCTCAGTGGTTTGGAGACCTGGCTCCATTACCTGTAATGGGCAGAGGGGCTCTTTGTCATCCCTGTGGCAATGACACTGCACCAGGATGGGTCTGTGAGTGGGTTTCTTTTGTTTCCCTTATTTTACACTCCTATCTGAACACTCTCTCTCACTTGAGTTCTGGGAATTTTGCTTGTCTGCAGTAAAGGATTAACTGTGCCCATATGGAGGTCTGGCCTGGCCCTCCACTCCTAGGGGGTAATCTTTAAATCCTTGGAATGTCCTGCTGATAAGAGTGTCTCTGTTTACCCGAGGCCTTGGGCCAGCCGGATAATCTATACTGGCAATGTGATTTATGGTGGGGGCTCTGGGCCACATGGTATCAGCTCAACTTTTGGAGGGGCTAGAAATGAAGGTCGGTCACATGGGCGGGTGGGAAACCTTGTCTGCACGTCCCATCCCCACTAGAAACCCTGGACACCACGGCTCCCTGTTTGGCAATACTCCACGCGTGTGTCGCTCATTGTTGCTGGGAGAAGTCAGTACTGTCCTCAGCTGCACTGGGAGAGACGACCGGAAGCTCGTCTCTCCTGGACTCTGCCCCCCTGCGCCTCTTCCCTTGGCTGACTTTCATCTGTATCCTTTCTCTGTAATAAACTTACTGGGAGTATAACAGTTT